CGCTTACCTGTCCCACCACGCATGCTAACATAGTTGTGTCTGGATCGCTTACCTGTCCCGCCACGCATGCTCACATAGTTCTGTCTGGATCGCTTACCTGTCCCACCACGCATGCTCACATATATGTGTTTGGATCGCTTACCTGTCCCACCACGCATGCTAACATATATGTGTTTGGATAGCTTACCTGTCCCACCACGCATGCTAACATATATGTGTTTGAATAGCTTACCTGTCCCACCACGCATGCTAACATAGTTGTGTCTGGATCGCTTACCTGTCCCGCCACGCATGCTCACATATATGTGTTTGGATAGCTTACCTGTCCCACCACGCATGCTCACAAAGATGTGTTTGGATGTCCGGTGGATACTTGGCGAACTCCTCAAAGTGTAGCATTGTTCGTACAATCTGGGGAAAAAGACAAAAAAAACAGGACCAGTCAACTTCTTGTAGTTCTTGGTTCATATTCACCTTTCCCAACTGCGCGACGCTTAAAACATGCTGCGTCATAACTACGTCATATTGGAGTCTGTCTTCATGTGCGTGACTCATCGACACTAACTGCCTCGGGTACCAATAGAATGTAACGAGTTGTATTGACTCATTGTCTCTAATCGAACCCAACCTATTAGCTTCAGCTAACGAATTGTTCATTAACGGGAAAACAAATTGTTTCTGACAAGGCGAGTGCCAAGTGCGTTATTTCCATGCCAACGGTGAATTGATAGATGGACGATATAATCGGTAAAGATATTAGACTAAGTTGAAACTACAGTCATCATGGTTCGTAGTAGTATTGTCTTAAGTCCGTTAATTTAAATTAGGATGCATATTATTTAGTTTAAATTGTTGTTTTGCCATTGGAAACGTCGACGCGATTGTGCGAAAAATATCGTCCCTTGTTTCATTGTAAACTGTGCAAACCATCCGTAAATTGGACTTTGTGTCCAGTTCACCGCCCTCACGTGCACTTTACAGAAGACTCAATTAGTACTCCATTGCCATTCCTCGCAACTATTCAATCTCGTTTTGTCGGAATTTTCGAACAAATTGCAATTTACAACACACGGAAGTTCATCTAATTTCAGGCTCTACAATTTCGCCTGGTCGTCCAAAGTTCGTCATTACGAAGTAGTACACTGTCATTTCATTTAAAATAACCGATTAGTTGTAACCGAGTACGAACGGGTGACGCCCAGTGCACTTTGTCAACAAATTCTTACAAGTACACTCACGATATTTGTATATATAAATGCACTTCCTTTTTTTTCTGATTTGAACAATTATCCAATGGCGATGCTCAAATATCACATTCGTCAAATGACTGAATAAACACCGTGAGCGTTACAATCATGATATTGTTATAGTGACTGTATTTTTTATCAATATCAATATCAAATCACTATGGTTACGATTTAAGGATATTGCAAAGCGATAATGTTTATCTTAGATATTAAGTTAAAATATGGTTAATTTACGTCAAATTATGATGCATTTTTTTTTAAAACATGTCAAAATCATAATAGTGTGTCAATAGCATGGGTACTGCGTGTATTCAAACTATTATTAATTATTAATATTCTGTATTTTTTTGTAATATATTTATGCTACGAATAATAACATGAACATCCGACACGTATACCAGTACATAGAAAAAAATTATGTGACGTAAATTTGGGCATCAGAATTTAGGGAGACAAACTAGTGACTAAGTGGGCATTAGTAACACTAACAAGAAAACGACTGATCTCAGTTGCCATGGCACCACTTGGCACTGATAGATATCTGGCTAAATTACAGTTGGGTTGGCTAACCTGTGTTTCAGAGCACAGCGTGATTCTAAGTGCTAGTAATACACTCTTAATAGCTTCCTCCGCGGGGATATGTCATCCTCGCCGAGAACTCAACCTGATGAGTTGTCGTCTCATTCGTCTTTTTGTGTACTAGCGAACGCCATCTTTTGTATACTAAAAGCAGAGTTTGATTGAATAACACAGATTTTGTGGTTATTTGTATATTCCAATATTAATATCAAACTGACTCAACTGAATCGATTTTAATATGTTCTTGGCTCTCGATACTAGCATTGAATCGTATCGCAAACACACTCGGTAACCTAGCAACTACTCGGGTGTTTGTGACAAAAAACAGGACTGAACTCGTCGATCACTGGAGATTAGAATACGTATCCAAAGGCAAAAGGAAGCAAATGAGTTAGTCAATGTTCGCTCAGGTGGAAAATGCTTCGTTCGTTGGGGCCATGCGTTTATGTTGATAAACGATAATACTAGAAGTACCGAGAAATGCACCAGAGAGCGTATGTACCATACGAACATTTAACTTCGAAGAGAGCATCAGGTAGGTATAATCATAGGTAAATATTGAGTATAGATATACATATACACGTATACATAAATATATAATATACTCGGTAGCTAATTACGCAATTATGTCACGGTGTAAATTGGAAAACGCATTTTTTTTTCCATTCAGAACTTACATTTTGGACGATTTCAGGCGTTCGTTCGCTCACTGGTAGTCTCAGATACTCCTTGATTTTTCCAGGGATGCTGTCCTGTAAAAAAAATTGTACGTGTAATCCTCAAGCGTTGGCGCAATGAGTGATTTTGCGATTCACGCTTGTGGTTGGTGTTTTTTTTTTCTCGGAAATTGCATTAGACTGCGTATATAAAGTGTTATGTATATTATGGTAACATATCGTGCGTGTATATTGAAAGAATCCTTCATTTTATCACTGGGATGAGTATTAGACCTACGCTCATCAACAAATTGAAAACCACTCATCGTAGTTGAAATGGACATTTTGATTTGCATGTGGAGCCGCTTACATAGCGTGTATGGTTTCATGCTGCTCTGCGTCTGTTACTAACGGTTGACAAATTAAGAACTAAGCTGCCACATTTGCAAACGACAACGCGCATGGGACAGCATTTCTGCAGTGTTTTTTTTAAATCGACACCTTCGTCAACGCAGGGCGCGTTCAATTTTGTTACTCGCGTTGTATATGTCGCCCAGGACCCAGGAAACACAACGCCGAGCGACAGGAATTATTATTTTTTTGTTTTTGTTTTAGTGTATTTTTGCGCTATATATACTTCGTATATATCTAGTCATTGTCAGCATCACGAGGTGATGATTATGTTTAATCCTTTTCATCCTTTCACTGTGAAAACAGATCGGACACTTCCAAATCTGACCCAGTGCGGGCGTCCTATCGTATACTAGTAATATCGTGAAAATGTCGTTGCCGATTCAACGCCCAGAGACCTTGTTCCCGAGTATACCAAATCACGAAGGAAAGTTTGCGGCCAGATTTCACAAGGAATCTTCGGGAATTTATTACGGCCCACAACTCCAGGTAAGATTGAAACTACACAGTGTATAAAGTGAAATCAGGTTTGTATGATCCTGCTCTACATGATGATGGTGACATTTCTAAACTTACGGCGTACATCGCACCACATCCATGTTCCTTTAATTATTCCCCCGATACAAAGAATGTAACACATCGTTACGTAATGTGTAACATTCATTAACATCCATGAGAGTCGCGTTATGTTGAGTTGACGGATTATTTTCACCGACACGGAAGTATGAATGCCATCACGATATTATGCAGCAAGAGCCTCGACTCCATGTCTTTTTCTCAGTATAGTAACTCCCGACTATTTTGTGAAATCTAACCATCCTTTGTTATCCCGACCTTTTGACGGCGAGACTAGTCTAGTATCACGATGTTTGTGGGTGTTGTTACGTCATACATGATATGCCAGTACTCAAACTAGTAATACAATCTGAGGCCAGTATCGGTAACACTAGGTTACGAGGCGCTGAAATTTCCAATACATGTGCTACTTTTTTTTAAAATATTTTTCTTCCGATGTGTCTGCTTTTCCTCAGAGGTGGCGGCACGAAATTTTTCATGGGGCAAGATCTGCTCACCAACCTTGCGCCGAAGGCGCGACTTTACTAGGGGGTCCGAGGTCATGCTCCCCCTTAACATTTTGAAATCTATATCCTCTGGAACGCTATTTCCTGCATTTTGAGGGGCAAATTTTGCTAACACAAAGGGTTCAGCCTAATTTTGGAGGGGCGATTTTTTTTTCGAAGGGGCGACCCGTATGAGCCCCCATGCCGCCGCCACTGTCCCCAGCTGTGTCTGGAGTGTATACGTGGTATGCAAGCGACTCTGAATACTGCAATAATTAATAATTTCCGCATCTCTTTGTTTTTCTTCGTAACATTCCATCTCTTCCAAAAAATCGCTAAGTAAACAACGCACATTTCCAGTTTTCGATCGTTGCGGGCGCACTTTTTATGATAATAACACGAAAGACTACAAGTATTTGAAAGATGTTTTTGTAGGAAATGTCATATTCACTCGTCAGGCACTGCTAAAGTAAATTTATATAAATGTACTCACGAATGGCGCGCGTTAACTTACCTCTCGTTTCGTGAATCTGAGATAATCGGTGGGGTCAAAGGTTAAGTCAGGGTGTGCGGCGCTAACGATGGTGGCTTTCGTATGTTTAGTGTCAGTTCCTGATTTCTTTGCTTCATTTTCCGCGGCCTGCAATGTCTGTTCCACAACCTCCAACCAACTTCCTTGAATGGCGCTAGCTGATGCGGATCTTGAATGTTGAAAAAACAAATACTTATGACAAACATCGAGTCATGATGCTAATTTTGTTGTATAGCTCATAGTATCGTGTTCTCAGGCAGTCGCAGATTTCAAAAACCGTTTTATATGAACTAAAAATGGGGCCCTGGAAAATATAGAGATGTGTCTCCAGCTCCCCTAGACCCCTTTTCCAGACAGCCAAAATGGGAAAAATAGATGCTCTTTTCAGACATTTTATAGAAAAAGATATACCTCTTTCTGTGACCCAAATCGTTTTATTATCATCTAGTCCTACAATGCATAACATTGAACTAAAGTCGCGGGTTAATAGAGCAGAACTCAAAAGACACGTGACCCATGGTTTAGACCATTATATCAGCTGTGGGTAGCAGGTTAGAAATTGGAAGAGTGTGATTTGGTAATTTTTGTAACACTTTGCTTTCATTTTCTGTTTTATCTGAATCCAGCCTCCCAGCAGAAATTATGACGAAATTATTGTCAGCATGCCCCTCCCCCAGAAGGTCATACGTCCTGGTATTTTCTGGGTGTGCAGATTCACTGTCAATACAAATGCATCATTTAACCTCCCCCTCCCCCAATGTAAGCAAGCACAAAAATATTTTAACATAAACAAAAATAGGTATAATATTGAGGGATATTGCTGTCATATGTCAACAATCCCCACAGAAGGTGCCAGGATGTACGACCTTTAGGGATCAAGTATAGGATTTATTTATTAGGATCACAGTCCCGTGATAGAGGGACTGTGTTTTGGATCAAGAAGGCGTTAACTTGCAATTGAAGTGTCCGTTACATCACGTGACCGACAATACTTACTTCATATAGGCAAGGCATGCCGTGCACAGGAGACGGATTACTCGGGCTGCTCGGCGAAATCTCACATACGGCTAGAAAGATAAATAACAACATCAAACACAAAGGTTGCTATAAAAGAAATATGATTTAAGACGAACCCATCGCCATGAAATACACTCAGATTAGAATTTGCGACACGTGACCAGTCATTGAACCCGGATACCCTCCCATTAATAGTAAATTAATCGTAAATTAATAGTATCCTTTTCCCTAAACGCATTCCATCTTTCAAAGAAATCACTCTGTTGTTAGATTGATTCGCGTAATGAGTAAAATATGAATCCAGTTCATGCTCGTTGCTGAACTTTTTGTTTAAAGTGCGGTGGTCGTCGCGCTGCGCATGTGAGACATTTGTGTTGATAAACATTGATTTTCCCACGATCCAATGCCCTCTTCAAATGGAAATCACAAGTATGAGGTTTGACCTGGGCGCGACTTACACTGAATACCACCGGTGACTCCTTCGATACCTTCCAATCACCTAAAAATTCCCCAATTAAAGCTTGGTAACGTCTCAGTTTGTACTCGTTGATCTGCGCAACAGTCAAAGTCACCATCTTTCAGTTTGTTTATATCTCGCGCATGTGTGGCGCAACGACTCCCGCCTTTTAAGATAATAATGCCAAGTAAAGCAAGAAAAAAAAACGTTCGTTTTTCGCAAGAAATAGCTTTTAATTTTATAATATTTATTTATTTATTCACATTTTGTGTAAATCGTGTAATTTAAGCTCATTGTATACGTCGAATGGGACCCACGCCAAAGACTATGAAACTTTGGATATTACCATCTCTAGTGCGAGGCGGACACGCCAACCACAGGTTAAGCATTTATATACATTCAGGTTAGAATAGACATCTCTCGATATCTCTGGAGCCTGAAATTAACTCCGAAGTTGGAGCTAGTCTATGTCGTTTTCGGCTTAACTGTTATACCCTATTCCCACACACTACTTTGTAAGTTGATGAACGAGACGACCAATGCATTCACTGTGACGTCATGGAATAAAAATAATCATATATTAATGAGTTTTCTGTGGGGTTTGATTAGCGGTCGCCCTGGAATACGAAGAGAAGTTGCCTAAATATTCACTTTGTGTTGTCGTCATCAAAACCCCATTGTGTATAGTTCATTTCAGACGACGTACGTAATAGTCACGCTCTGTCACATTTTACAATCTGGCTTTCTGGTCTGATATTTCAGTCTCCTGTCATCGATGTTATTGGCCGTACTTTGTGTGCGGTATGTCGTTGTATCATTTAATTTGTCGAAGAAAGCCAGGAATTAGGTAACTTTTTTCATCAAGGGTCGAGCCGTGGAAATATGAGCATAATACAACCTCGCGCTGGGAGTATTTTTTCTGGGTCACCCCGTCTCGTTACGGCTTCAATAGCACTGTGTTTAGATATACTAACCAACATTTGACAACACTTGTTATGGATAAACCAAACTCGTAAACTCCAATATAACGCTTTGCTTACAAAGAAACCGTTACACTGTATCGTCCTTGGGTTGTCGGGGTCGTCTTTTCTAGTTTACAATAGTTCCAGCATTACATTACAATTCTATTACTGTAACTATAAAAAAATATGACAAGATCGGGGAAGTGTGCCTGGCTGAGGGCATTATTCGGCGGTGTTTTCGCGAGTATTGTTTTACGTCCTGTAATCAAAAACAAGGCTGACGTATTTATTGTCAATTGTAAGCAACACAGTGTACAATGGACAGTAATAAACATCATATGATCATTGTGACCAGACCACGTTGCCTTCGAAACCAGAGATAAGAAAACAGGAAATAAAACATGAGGTCGTCATTACAGCACACCACATAAGATGTCAAATTTCGAGCTCACGAAATCTGAACAAAACTAAAAAAGATCACGGTTAAATATAATTGACACGCGCATTTGTCGCAGTATATATTGTGGTAGCAAGTAGGGTGACCGATCGATTTCAAATTCTGTCGCTGTGTTTCTATCACGTGCAAGCAGGTGTCCGATTCGGTGATTTTTTTTTTAAATACACTGTTACGTCAATGATATCCCATATTGGAAGACAGAAAAACAAACATGATTTCACGATTGTTATACTTCAAGACGACTTTCATAATGAGATAGGTAATAATTATGTCTTGGTTACAGTGGCTTAAGTTACAATCATTTTTAAACTCACCGTCATTTCTTCCTCCTCGGCGTCAGTGGCTTGACTTCCAGCGAACGATCTTTCTGAATGCCTGGTTCTTAATATCCCAGGTTTTTTCCTCCCCGATCTCGGTTTAACATCGAAGAGACCAGTGTGGATATTCCTCCTGGTGGACAAAAAAAAGAAAGAAAACGCTGTTAATCATACGTAGGGGGTATTAGTTTCTCCGATGATATTAATCGCTGTTTTACACTGGATTGTTGCCAGCAACTTGGTATCGATTTCAAATTTCAGCGATGTAAACACGGTGAATATATCAACGGGAAAAACAAAGACTCGTTATATTCAGTTTCACGTTGGGGAATTCCTAAACGGGTCGATATGTCACGTAACACGGTTGTTGTCCTTACCCACAAGTTTCAGTAGCAGCTAAGACTTCCATTATTGTATCGTGAAATGGCAATACACTAGCATGATGACTCGTGGCCTACGTAGTGGTCATAGGTCACCTGTGGGGGTCTATACCTACGACTCCCATTCCTGCGCCTCGTTAAAACATTTTGTACAGTCGGTTGACACCATACATACCATGGAGGTAGAAAAGATCTCTTTTCTACCTCCATGATACATACAGAGCAAATTTGCTGCGATTGCGCAATTTGAAAGACTCAATATGGACGAAAACATTTATATAGTTGGAGCGCCCCATGTGTTAGAATCGAAGTATGCTACAATGAGCACAACTGTATGTAATCGTACAGCGCATGTCCAAGTCGAAGT